TTGAACTGCTAGCCTTCTGGTTAGCAGCCAAGTGCCTTAGGCACTACACCACCAGAGCTCTTAGTAGATTGCCCAGTCTTCCTTCCATGGAGTGGCTGGTGGGTTTGAACCGCCAACCTTCTGGCTAGAAGTCAAATGCCTTAGGCATTATACCACCAGAGCTCCTTAATAGACTACCAAACATAAGTAAAAATGCACAAACAACAGAAGGTAATTTGATGACTGGGACCTTCTAAGAATTAAATTCTTAATGCACATCAAAAGACTGCTCCAAAAGAGTGAAAAGAGAACCTACAGATTTGGAAAAAAATATTTGGCAATGACATCTGACAAGGGACTTATCTCTAAAATTTATAGAAAACTCCAGCACCTCAACATCAAAAAGACAAACAATCCAATTAAAAAATGGGCAGAATACATGAACAGACACTTGACCAAAGAACATACTCAGGCTGCCAACAAACACATGAAGAAATGTTTATGATCATTAGCCATCAGAGAGATGCAAATCAAAACAACAATGAGATACCATCTTGCCCCAGCACTAACAGCAAAGTTCAACAGGACAGTAAATAACAAATGCTAGCAAGGATGTGGAGAGATTGGGACTCTCATACACTGCTGGTGGGACTGTAAAATGATATAAGCATTGTGGAAATCGGTATGGCGATGCCTTAAAAAGTTGGAATTAGAAATACCATTTGACCTAGTCATTCCATTACTAGGTGTATATCCTAAAGAAGTGAGAGCCATGACAAGAACATATGCACACCCATGTTCATCGCAGCACTGTTTACAATAGCCAAAAGATGGAAACAACCTAGATGGCCATCAACTGAAGAATGGAAAACCAAACTATGGTACATGCACACAATGGAATACCATGCAACCCTAAAGAATAACGTCGTTGTTGTTGTTATGTGCTGTCAAGTCGGACCTGACTAACAGCGACCCCTCCTTGGGTTTCCGAGGCAGTATCACTACGGAAGTAGATTGCCCCTATCTTCCTTCCGAGGAGTGGCTGATAGGTTTGAACTGCCTTCTGGTTTGCAGTCAAGTGCCTTAGCCACTATGCTACCAGAGCTCCCAAAGAATAACGTAGAATCTGCAAAACACCTATAACGTGGATGACCTTGGAGGACGTTACGCTGAGTGAAATAAGTCAACCACAGAAGGACAAATACTGTATTAATTGATTATTATAAAAGTCAAGGAAAGGTTTATACATGGAAGGAAATGTTCTTTGTCACCAGGAATAGGAGGGAAAATTGCTAGACAGGTAAGAGACAAGTGTTGATTTGGGTGAAGGGAAAGGCTGTATAACAAAAGCAAGTGACCAGCATAGTAACAGTAAGGACGAGACCCAGATAGGTGCCCAAGAGGTACTGACGTCAAAGATAAATCCCTTTACGTACACAGCACTGCGTTATCAGTAATAACAAACATCAGGCTGGGGGTGTGGACACATAGGTAGACAGGCTAAATGATCAGGTATGGGTAGGGAAAAGGAATATACCCATGACCATATGTAAGGTTGACAAATGGTATTTCTACACTTGTGTTTGTGCTAGAACATGTCCATATATATAATAGAGCTGATATGGCAAAGTTACTTATCTTCTCAGCCACAGCCAAACACCTCATGGGAGTGAGTCAGTGGGCCCGCGGGTTCAGGACCAGAGTCACTGGGGACATCAAGCTCAATTGGCATATTGTGCTACACAAAAACACTGTTCTACATATTACTTGGGTGTGTAGCAACTGATGTCTTAAAAACTTGCAAGCAGCCATCTAGATGCAACAATGGGTCTCTCCTCATCTGGAACAAAGAAGAATGAGGCAAACCAAAGATGGATGAAACAGTTAGTCCAAAGGACTAGTGAACCATGTGAACCTCATTCTATATGACCCTGAGACCAGAACTAGATGGTGCCCAGCTACCCCTGTCAGCCACTCAGAAAGGGATCAGTGCAGGAAGTCCTGGAGAGAGTGAGAGAAGAATGTGGAACAAAACCCAAAACCATAAAAAGGACCAGGTCTGCTGGTCTGGTGGAGCCTGGTAAGAGCCCCGGGACTATGCCCCTAGTTACCCTTCAGGTCTGGAGTTGAACTCACTCCCATGGGTTCCAGCCAAACAATAGACAGGAGCATGGGGTGAACATTTACACCTGGTAGATACACTCCTTGGAGAGATCAGTCATGGGAGAACAGAGGCCGTGTGTGCACAGGGAGACAGCTGGGGGCAGGTGGGGGTGCACGGGAGGGAAGGACACCGGGAAAAGGAACCACAGGGAGGAAGTGGGAAAGGAGCTGTTACATCATGGAGGCTGTAGTCAATGTCGTGAAACAGAATGTGTATGAGCTGCTGTGTGGGAAATGAATTTGCTCTGTCAACTTTGACCCAAATGTCATACACACACACACACACACACACAAAGTGAGTGTATCAAAATAAAAGACCAGAACCCCAGTATAGGCACGTGTGAGCCAGAGTGACTTGGAAAAGCCGCAGGAAAAGTTGAACAGACGAGGGAGTGAACACCGACCATTGGCAGCCAGAGGACTAAGACCCATGTCAGAAAGGGTGGGCTTCGAGGCCAGAGGGCTCAGCCAATGCTCACAGCCTAAAGGGCGTGTTCTCCGTGCTGGGCTGGCCACAGTGCACATCTGGCAGGTCCTCAGATCCAGGTGATCGACGACGTTCGATGCGTGAACACACACGGGGCTCCGAGTGTGGAGTGGGGGGCCAGACCCTGCACCCGCCTCTAACTCCTCACCCAACCCTGATGCCAGGGCTGTGCAGCATGCAGAGGAGTGGCGGGCCGAGCCCGATCTGCTCGGGAGGCCTCTGCCCCATCCCGGCAGGTGCCCGCGTGGCCACTGTGTGCACAGTGTCACTGCACGCCCAGCCCTGCCCGACGGCACCCTGTGCTCAGCCCCTGCTCTGCCTCCATGTCCTGTGCTGCCCGGGGGCAGGGGCAGGCGGGGTGATGTCTACCCCCCACTTCAGGCTTCCTCTTCCCTCCATGCTCCGGCCTTTTCGGGGGCCCACGTTTGGCTGCCGCACTCTGCTTACAAACCTGTAAGGCCTCGTGTTTGCTGCAGGACAGTCCAGAGCCCTCGAGGTCCTCCCCCTCTTTAGTCACCGTGAGCATCGGCTAACAGATGCCAGTTTAGATGCAGTTTGCCAGGTTGCCACCTTAAAGAGCCAGCAGCCCCGCTGTGGTGAGCCCCCTTACAGACGAAGTTTCGGTTTAGCGGGGTTCATTTTGTCCTCAGCTGTTGGCAGTCGGTGGTAACTTGCTGTAGTTAACATTAGTTCTGTCGGAGCCCCAGCCACATCAGATGCTCACTCATCCAGGACGGGGCACTCGGCGGGGGTTCTGGGCCATCAGAATGCAGGGCCTAGCTCTGCCTCCTTCTGGGGGACTGCCCAGCCCCTGGCACTTAGCTCCTGCCACCAGCGTTGGCTTTGAACATGTCTGCATCCGGCCCTTGGTCCAGCAGCAGGACTCCCCTTGCAAAGTCCAGACACACTGCCTTTCTGTCTCCTCTTCCCCTCCCCGGAAGACACCTCGTGTTCCGCGTGGGCGGGAGCCTCCGCAGCGTCTTGGCTCCCTGCTTTGGGTGCAGAGCCCTCGAGCTCCCACGGCTGCAGTCTGACCCTTCTTCCAAGCCCACGGGAGCCCCTCTGCCCGGTGGCCGGTCCCTCCTCCAGCTCCTTGGCCTCACCACAGCTCTGAAGACCCGCTGCGGCCTACCGTCTCGCTGCTGGTGAGCCGGGGGCTGTGTGGCCGTTAACGTTGGTGGCACCCGTGTTCTGTTGCAGACCAAAGAGAAGTATGAGAAGTCGCTGAAGGAGCTGGACCAGAGCACCCCGCAGTACATGGAGAACATGGAGCAGGTGTTCGAGCAGTGCCAGCAGTCGGAGGAGAAGCGCCTGCGCTTCTTCCGGGAGGTTCTGCTGGACGTCCAGAAGCACCTGGACCTGTCCACCGTGGCCAGGTACGGTCCCCTTCAGTCACCAGCACGTCACAGTGAGGCCAGCAGGGTGTGTTGCTGAACCCTGCAGCTGCTCCGGCCTGGGGAGGCGGGGTTGTCCTTTCCACCGTTACTGCTGCTCCTGCTTTCCCGCCCTTCTGCCGGGCCTGCCCCACAGCTGCCGAGCTGGCCCACGCCACTTGCTCGTGGCCTCTCAGCAGTCTGGCTGCAGCACTGATCGCCGGCCCGAGCAGGACACCCTCTTGTCATGTGCTAAGGCCCGGCACGCTCTGGCCAACTCTTCATGTGGATCTGGCCCGGAGCTGGGGCTGTCCACACTCGGGGTTCACTGGAGTCCACCTGGCTCACATCTTACCTCCAGGCCCTTTGGGAGCCCTGACCCCCACCCCCACCGCTGCCTGCTGCTCTTCGGTTCTCGCCTCCCCCATGGCCCCAGCCTCGGCGGCAGCGCAGGTGGTAAAGCTTCTGTTCTGAGCCGTTGCTGGAGCTGTGGTCGTCCTTCCTCCCTTTCCTCGTCTTCGCTCCCGTCATGCTTGAGCCCAGGCAGGGGCCCAGGTTAACCAGGAGCGCAGGCTTCGGTCAGCCTGTGGCAGAGCTACAGGCATGGATCTCAGGCCAGGCCGTGTCTCTCCCGGGAAACCCCATCCCCTTCGTCTCCTGTACAGAGACACGAAAGCCGTCGGCATTGCACCCTGCGTCCTCTGCCGCGTTTAGTTCGTCTTCATGCTGTCTTGTAAAATGAGTGCTTTGTCCCCTGTGTTACTAATGAGGAAACTGAGGCTGGGTGAGGCCGAGGGTCTGTGTGAGGACCTCTGCTTGGAGGGGAAGGCGTCGTGTGTCTCCTCTGTGTGTGACCGTCCGTGAGCTGCAGGCCGGACTGCGTGCTCCTGGTCTCACCTGGTCCTCCAGGGCTCCCTGGGAAGTGCATGCACTGTGCCCACTCCACAGAGGGCCAGCAGGGCCCGGGAAGGTAACTGACCAGCTGGCACACGGATCCTGAGTGAGAACGTCCGGTGCGGCTAGCCAGGAGCTCCTTCCTGCGTGTCGGCCCCCTGGACAGAGAGCTGGTGGGAGCTGCTGAGCAAGTGTCCCCCGCCCCAGGGGCGCGGGCTCCGGGGCCACCGCAGCACCAGGCAGCCTCGACTCCCTGCATTGGCCCACTTGGGTGTAAACCTCCCGACTTTTCTGACAGAGTGAGAGGTGTTGAGGGGCTTTCCGACTCTAGTTTTCTCCTCCTCACTTCTGGACCTGAATCAACAGTTCATTTCCACGTGGATGGGGGCCCCCTCACTGGGTCCTTTTGGGTTTTTTATTTTCTTTGTTGTTGCAAGTATACACAGCAGCGAATCCACACGTGCAGCTCGTGGTGTTGGTGACATTCCGCATCCAACCATTCTCCTTTTCCAAGTTGTTCCTTCCCCGTTAGCATAAGCTCACTGCCAAGTTTCCTATCTCGTCTTTCGAGTTGCTATGGTCACTTTGATCCCAGACTAGATCTTGAAAGAGCCCAGTGCTTGGGGCAGACCTTCTTCACTAGTGAAACCGAACTATTGTTTGGTTCTAAGAAGATTTCAGGGGATATTTTGGGTTTAAAGATTATCTCAGGGCATTTGTTTCGGGGGTTCCTCCAGCTTCTTTGGCTCCAGAAAGTCTGGCTTCCATGAGACCTTGAAATTCTGTTCTACAGTTTCTCCCTTTTGATCAGGATTCTTCTGTAGAATCTTTGATCAAAAGGTTCAGTGGTAGCCAGGCACCGTTCAGTTCTTCCGGTTCCCGTCTGCCAGTGCCTTTATCGTACCTGACAGAGCAAAGCTTACTTGTTTCCACCTGGTTTAACTAGAGGTGAATTTGTGGGCAGCTGTGGCTCCTGCAGCCTGGTGATCAGCTTGCCCACTGTGCCCATCACAGCCAGCTGACTGTCCACTGAGTAGTGTGGACACTGCCAGTCTGCATTGAGGGGTCAATCACAGTGTGGCTACTGGTGGCCAGGCCCTGGACTGGGATGAGTGATGCCTGCTCCCTGCCTCCCAGAAGAGTCACACATCTCTCTGATTTAGCTACAAAAACATCTACCGTGATGTGGAACAGACCATCAAAGCTGCAGACGCGGTGGAGGACCTGAGGTGGTTCAGAGCCAATCACGGGCCCGGCATGTCCATGAACTGGCCACAGTTTGAGGTAAGAGGAGCTGTGACGCCCCCGTGACCTTGTTGGCGTGGGAGGGGCTGGTCCCGCAGAGCTTCCTGCAGTAGACAATCTTTCTGGCTATTCCGGACTCTTGATGAGGCGCCTCTAGGCGCAACCTTTATACCACACAAACTGCATGGGTGTGTGGAGGCCCAAGGGACCACAATTGCTGTTGGGCCTCTGGAATCTGGTGGAAGGTGGAACTGAGTCTGACTGTAACTTGTTGACCGTGGCACTCGCTTTGTGGTTCTTAGCCCTGCAGAGTGGTGGCCTGAGGGGTGTCCAGGAAAAGAGAGGCCACGGCGCAAACCAGCCCTGGTGGCCAAGAGTGTGTTCAGCCAGGCAGGGCAGGGCGGCCCTGTGTGAGGCTCCCCTTACCTTCATGCGGTTTCAGACCATAAATTGAGCCAGTTTGGGTTCAGGATTAGCTTTTTTTAATCCCGTTTTTAAGGCCCTGAACTTGCCAATGGAAAATGGAAGCCCTAAGGATCAGGGGGCCTCTTCCAGCCCTAGGACTGGGTCTCAGGCCCTGCCTGGACCCCTGAGGGTACAGAGGGCGGTGGCTGCAAGTCCTACCATCCCCAGTCTCTGAAGGAAGGGCCCTTCCACACGCTCTGGCAGGGACTGGAGCTTGTGGGAGTGGGTTGGGCTCTGTGGGGCGGGCTGCAGTGGGGTGCTTCACACAGCGGGACAGGGGGCAGAGCCTGGGCGGCTGTACCGCTCACTGGCCGTGCGATGCTGAGTGTGGCACTCGCCCTGGCTGTGACTCAGGTTACCACGGGTCAAGTGGGGAAGACCACAGCTGCTGGCTCCTCGGGTTGCTGTGCGTCCAGTGACATCAGGCTGTGAGCCCAGATCCTGCCCCGGAAGTGGCAGCTGTCATTAGGCCCACCACACAGGACCCCGCTTGGTCCGCTCCTAGTCTGCCAACCCCCGGCCTCCAGTCCGTGCTTCTCTAAGTGACAGTGTGGGGCCCTGCAGCTCAGCACCCCCGTGTCATCCCATTGCCAGCAGCAGGCCCCAGCAGGCTGTGCCCACTTCACGGAGGATGAGGCGGGGCCGCCCGAGTAGCAGTGGGCCTCCGGGAGCAAGCACCACTCTCCTCCACTGGTGGTGACGCTCTGAGGGCCACAGGTTCCTGTTGTTGCTCGTGCAGGGCACTTACCACTCCGGGGAGTGGCAGCACAGATCACGTGCGAGGTGTCCCCGGAAATTCCCCAGACGGTCCCCTAGAGCTGCCCGTCGGTGCCCAGAGAACAGAGATCTGGCAGGAAGGCGTTGACGGCCTCACCGGGGGCAGCTGGCAGAGCCATGTGCCCACAGCCCTTACAGGGTCGCGCCTGACTTTTCTCTAACGAGATTATTTCTTTTTTTTTTCCCCATGCTACAAGGACGAAGTAAGTTTCTGTTTTATGGCTACTTCGCTGCATTGTGTCCGCAGACATGCATGTGTGTGTTTGTGTGTATATGTGTGGAGGGACGCTTCACAGGCTGGTTCGCAGGATGCGTGAGGGTTTGAGAACCTGCTGATTCTGTTGTCATGGTTGTCAACACCACCCCTCTTCAGGGTCCGCCTGGTGCAGTGATCCTGTCAACCTCGGAGCCCTTTCCCATGCATTTCTGTTTCAAAGCTCACTGCGGGGACGTCTGAGCCCCCAGGTCTGCTCTGAGCCAACTGGTGTCAGTTGAGAGAGTTACTAGCACGTGGGGACCTGGACTGTGTCAGGAGTCAGGAGACTGCCTGGCAGGCAGTCGCCCTTTCTCCCTGGGCCTCAGTTTCCTCCTTGGATGGCTGGCGGGTCGGACGTTTGCTTGGCGTAGCTCCTATCCCTGACACTGTGAGCTGAGGGCTCAGCCCCGCTGACTTTTCCTGAATTTCAGTTGTCCAGGAATGGGTGGAAATGGGAAGGAAACAGAATTTTACTTAGAGAGAAACACACACGTACCGTTTCTGGAACAGTCCAGGGCGCGGCCTCCTTCCTCGTCCCCACCCTCCGTTTTTCAATGTAGTTGATGAACACATTCTGTGCGGGAGACGCTAATCCGTGTGGAGACGAACAGGCAGGCGTTTGTGCCTCGGCAGCCCTGGCACACTGTCGGGTTGGGGGAGCGCTGCAGGCAGCATGGTCACCAGGAGAGGCCCCTGCTCTGTGGACATGGTGCTGAGGGGCAGCTCTCGGGCATTTGCTCCATCCTTCCCTTGAGCGGTGGCTGCTGAGCTCTGGTCTTATCTGCCGCCCAGGGTTCTTGGGCTGCCTTGAAGCAGAGCAGTTTAAGGCGTAGACAGGAAGGAGCCTCCACACTCAAGGCCGAGGCCGCCTGGCCCAGCCCCTCCTGAGTGGACAGCTCCCGTCCACCTCAGGAGGCTCAGCGCCCACCCTGCCTGGGGGAGCTGGAGGCTGAGGGCACCACCACGGCCAGGCTGGGCCTGGGGGACTCCAGGGCTGGGACACAGGACCGAGGCATCAGCCCCGCGCCGTCATCATCCACTCAGTCCTGGGCGGTCAAAGCCTGCTCGTCCCGGGAGACGAGGCCAGAGCCTGGTAAACGTGCCGACCCCCAGGCCCTCCGAGGAGGAGCCCCCACTCGGCCACTGAGGTGGTTTCAGGTGTCGTTGGGTCAGTGGGTGGGGGCTGGGTGCCTGAGGGCGGCTGAGAGACAGCCGAGGTGCACAGACAGGAGGCCGAGAGCCGCCGACGGCCGGAGCTGGGCCTGCTGGTGCGGTGCTGGAAACCCCCGTGGCTTCCCACGCCAACGCCCCGCTTTCCCTCCCCGGCACCTGCTGCCCAGGAGTGGTCCGCAGACCTGAATCGGACCCTCAGCCGGAGAGAGAAGAAGAAGGTGGCCGATGGCATTACGCTGACAGGCATCAACCAGACGGGCGACCAGCCTCTGCAGAACAAGCACAGCAGGTGAGCAGCCCCCCCACCCACCCACCCGGGTCACCCAGGTCAGCACTTGGGGGAGTTCCACGGGGCCTCGCCGGGCCCCCAAAGGCGCCTTCCGGGAGCTCCCTGGTGCCCGGTGGGGAAGCCTGTCTTTCCACTTGGTGAGGGGCCACTGAACAGCCAGGGAGCCTTTGCCACAGAGTTTGTGCTTCAGGTCCCACGTGAGGGGGCAGCTGGGGGCAGGTGCTGGGCATTACGAGTCCTCACTGCTGGCAGCCACCCTGTGCTGGACGCTGGGGTGGCTCCCTCCACCTGGGCGCAGGTGGCCTCATGGGGTCCGTAGTCCAGTCACTGGCTCTGACTCCCTCTGCGTGGGTGCAGGTGTCCGGAAGGGGCTCTGTAGTCCAGACATTGGGGCTGTTCCCTCCACGTGGGCACAGGTGGCCTCATGGGGTCTGTGCTCTGGACGCTGGCAGTGGCTGCCGTGGGTTTGGGGTCTGCTGAGGTCAGTGCTTTGGGTGCTGCTGGTGGCTCCGTCCGTGTGGGCACAGGTGTTCTGGCGGGGTCTGTGCCCTGGACGCTGGTGGTGGCTCGCGTGGGCGCGGGTGTCTGCAGAGGTCAGCGCTCTGGACGCTGGGGTCACGCCCTTGTGGGCACAGGTGTTCTGTGCTGTGTGCAGGTGCTTGAGGGCACGAGAGGATTGTCACGTGTGTCCCTGCGGGTCACCCCTTGGTTGAGAGCATTGGTTATGTCTAACCTTGTCGTTGGCTGAAAATGAGTTGTGGATAGAAGAGATGGGAGTGAGTCGTTAGAACCTTCTGGAAAGTGTGTGCTACGCGAGGCCTTTCTCTTGTTTCTGGGGCTCAGTGCTCAAGCAGCCACGTTGCTGACCACTTCCTGGAAGCCCTTTCTGCCCTCAGGCCTCCTTGTAGGGCACACGCAGCAGTGACCTGCTGCTCGACTGTGATGTGAGAAGAACTAGGGTTCCCTGGGTGGTGGCCTGGGCAGCCGGCCTGGGCAAGCACTTAGCGCCATCTAGTGATGAGGCCTGCCCTGTGCTGGGGGTGGGGCAAGGCTCTGGGCCTCTCCGCTGGCCAGGGCTGTGAGAATTTACCCGTCCAGCACCCACTTCCTCTCAGAAAAGGGCCAAGGACGGAGGAGGGCCTGGTGGCCTCAAACACGCAGCCGAGTGCAGGCAGCTGGAGGCTTGGGTGCGGTGCCGCTGGCCAGGCCTGAGGCAGATGAGGCGCTTGCTGGTGCTTCCGGGTCAGCACGTGCCCCTCCTGCCCTGGGCTGGTGGCTGCTCGGACTGAGCCGCCTCCCTGCACTGTGAGTACCCGCCACGTAGCCCGCCCGTGACGTGCTGTCGCATGTCCGCCGCCCTCCAGGGCCGGCCTCTGCCTCTCCATCTCCATCGTGTTCCGGCCTCCACGGCAGCACCTTCACCAGCACGGCTACCGTCCTTGGCTGTGCGCCCGCAGGCAGGACCGGGGCAGGTTTCTCCTGGGGCCTGGGGCCCGGCGTCCTGTCGGGAGCCGCTGACAGAGCTTGCACGGCTGCGTTTCCCTCTGGAACACTGAAGGGTCCTTCTGGAAGGGGCTGCGTAGCAGGCCTGACGGGGAAGCTCCTGGCCGGAAGCACTGGGGACAGGCTGCTAAGCCTGCGGGCGTGCCACTGTGGGGTCCGGAGAGCCCAGACCGTTGTGCTCAGCTGTGGCCCGGCCCACCCTGCCCTGGGCTCCTGTTCTGGGGAGACCTGCAGACAACTCCTGGAAGGGAAACAGAAACCTGGGGGCATAGTGGATAAGGCCCTTGACTGCTAACCGGAAGGTCAGCGGTTCAAACCCACCAGCTGCTCCACGGAAGGAAGATGGGCGATCTACTTCCGTAAGGATTTACCGCCTCAGAAACCCAGCGGGTCGCTGTGAGTCGGAAATAACTCAATGGCAGGGAGTTGTTGGTTTTTTTTTTTTTAATTTAGTTCTCTCAGGCACTTCGAGTGTGTTTGTTAGCCAGAGTGCAGCCAAGCGTTTGGCTGACATAACATTCCTGTCCCAACACCGGGGCCCCTGCCTGACTGCCCTGCAGAGCCCACGCCGTGGTCCTATGGCGGGATCCCGCGCTCCCTCGGAGCACGTCTCCTGAGAGCGCTCTCTCTCCCACTAGCAGCCTTAGCGTCCCGAGCAACCCCTCGCAGTCACAGTCCAGCCACAACCCCTTCGAGGACGAGGACGACACAGGGAGCACCGTCAGTGAGAAGGAGAGCATTAAGCCCAAAAAGTTGGTGAACAAACGCTCCTCCTCCTGTCTCCCCCTCTCTCTCTGTCCAGGGCTCTCTCGGGCTCGCCCCCTTGGCGCGGAGAGCCATGCATGAGGCCTCACAGGACGGGTCTGCACGCCTGGCCGGCCACTGCTCGGGGACAGGCTCTGGCTTCTCGGTCTTCTCGGGGGGTGGGGGCGGCTGCTAACACTCTTCAGTTGCTTTTTCTCCGCCTTTCACTCACCCCTCGTCAGGAGCCTGGCATTGCCACCACAGGAGGACAGCAGCCTGGCAGGGCCTGCTGTGGGGGCTGCTCTTTCTGTGGATGTGGCACGAGCGCTCGCTGGGGCCCGGCCTGCCCTGCAGAGCCCCTGCCCAGCCCCGGTGGCACAGGGTGCCGTGCCTTCAGACGAACCTCGGGCCCCGCCCCGGGCTGCTGCGTCCTCCCTGGCGGCAGCTGAGGCTCTGGGCCGGGGGCCTCGTGCCTGTGCCCGCCCCTTGCTGAGGCCCGTGTCCACCCTCTCTCGCAGCGTGAGCAGCTACGAGAAGACCCAGACCTATGCCGCGGACTGGTCAGATGACGAGTCGAACAACCCCTTCTCCTCCACGGATGCCAATGAGGACTCCAACCCATTTGACGAGGACACCACCTCGGGGACGGAGGTGCGGGTCCGGGCCCTGTACGACTACGAGGGACAGGAGCATGACGAGCTGAGCTTCAAAGCTGGTAGGTGGCCCCGACCTCCCACGGCCCAGGCAATGGCTCAGCTCAGCTTCCAAGCTGGTAGGTGGCCCCGACTTCCCACGGCCCAGACGATTGCTGGCGGCCTGCTACCCGGTTTTCAATCTGTTGGATTTCCTGGTCCTCTCATGTGTGGGTTTTCCCTTGCAAATTTCAAATGCAGGCAGATGCTCGATACTAAAACTTAGAAAACAGTGAGGCCACTGGGGCCTTGGCCTGGATTCCTGCCCTATTCCTGGGCTGAGGCAGGAGCAGCCCGGCCCTAGGCGGCTGCTCTGAAGAGGTACAGCTAGAGAGTGTGTTGGCCAGGCCTCACCCAGGCCCCCCAGGTGCCCCCCGGACTCAGCCAGCCCTCTCTGCAGGGTCCCCGAGGCATGTGTTTCTCCAGAAGGCCCCAGCTGGTAGGGAAGCCCTTGGGCTGGCCGTGGCCAAGCCGAGAGCCCAGAGTGCACTCCGTGAGCCCTGACTGGGCCCGCGGCCTCCCCTCAGAGAGCACCTTTCTGGGGCTCTTCCTCCGTTTTCTTCTGAGTCCCCAGCTGCTGCAGCCGGCGGGTACGCTCAGCCACCAGTCAAGGGTGGAGGCGCGAGGCCTCCCCGAGATGCACACCTCAGAGGAAGGGCCTCGCCTGCTTCTTTAAACTCAGCCACCAGAGGCCTCGCTGGGCACAGTCATCACACATGGGGTCATCCTGAGTCGGAACCAGCTACATGTCCCGTTCTAGACAAAGGTGATCCAACAGAATGTGGGTATTATCAAACAGTATCATTAATATCACACACAAATAAAATTTGGCTGAAGAGAATTCAAAAACAGTTGCAGCATTATGTGGACGGAATTTCCAGAAACACAAGCTGGATTCAGAAGAGGACGTGGAACAAAGGATATCATTGCTGATGTCACATGGATATTGGCTGAAAGCAGAGAGTACCAGAAAGTGTTTTACTGATTGTACAAAGGCATTTGGCTACATGGGTCGAACAAATTATGGATAACTTTGTGAAGGATGGGAATTCCAAAACAGTGAATTACACTCATGAGGAACCTGTATATAGACCAAGAGCGAGTTGTTCAAACAGAACAAGGGGACACCGTGTGGTTTAAAATCAGGAAGGGAGTGCGTCAGGGTTGTATCCTTTCCCCATACTTATTCAATCTATATGCTGAGCAAATAATCCGAGAAGCTGGACTATATGAAGAACACGGCATCAGGATTGGAGGAAGAACCATCAACAACCTGCGATATGCAGATGACACAACCTTGCTTGCTAAAAGTGCAGGTGACTTGAAGCACTTACTGATGAAGATCAAAGACTACAGTTTTCAATATAGATTACATCTCAACATAAGAAACAAAACTCCTCACAACTGGACCAATGAGCAACATCATGATAAAGAGAGAGGAGACTGAAGTTGTCAGGGATTTCATTGCACTTGGATCCACATTCAGTGCCCGTGGAGGCAACCATTTCCTAATCAGGGTACTGCATTGGGCTAGTCTGCTACAAAAGACCTCTTTTAAAGATGTCACCTTGAGGGCTGAGTGCCTGATGCAAGCCACACTAATACATAAGGAAGATCGAAGGAGAGTTGATTGTTTTGAACAAATTGTTGGTGAAGAACACTGAAGGTTCTGGGGCCTGCTGGAGGAACGAACATGCCTGTCTTGGCAGAAGTGCAGCCAGAATGCTCCTTAGAACCGGGGGTGGGGAGACACTGTCTCAGGTACTTTGGACACGTTGTTGGGCGGGCCGGTCCCTGGAGGAGAAGCTCCTGCTTGGTCAAGTGGAGGTCAGCAGGAAAGAGGAAGGCCCTCAGTGAGATGGACTGACCGGCAGCTGCAGTCATGGACTCAAACTCCCCAACGGTCGCGGGGGCGGTGGCGGACTGGGCAGCACTCCGTGCCGTCGTACGACTCAAATCTGTAACACGCCTGCCCAGACATGTGCACGTGTCTTATACACATCTACACACATGTGTAGTACACACACGCACGCACGGGTTTTAGACACACCTGTTCCACACGCAGTCCCCTGGTGGCACAACTGGTTAAGCACTCGACTTCGTGCTGAATGGTTGGTGGTTCACAGCCACCAGAGCTGCCTCTGGAAAGACCTAGTGGTCTCTTTCCTGAAGGTCCCAGCCTTGGAAACCCTCGGGAGTAGTACTCTGCACAAGTGGGGGTGCCCTGAGTGGGAACCAGCTTCACAACAAGTGGCACCAGCCCCTGTGCACGCTGCGTGGTGCACACTGGCCACCCGCCGACAGCAGGCAGTGCTCTGTTGCTATCCGAAAAGTTTTCCCTGGCTGCTGTGTGGAACAGATCTCCAGGCCTGCCCCCATCCACGTGTTTCATAGGTCCCTACAGGGAGCCCTGGTGCCACAGTGGAGAAGCACTCAGCTGCTAACTGAAAGGGCAGCGCTTCAGACCCGCCTGGCTCCCTGCTGTGTCTCCTGAGGGGCCAGCCTCCTCTGTTCCTCCCATTCCCCTCCGCGGCTGCCCTGCACAGGGCCTGCCCAAGGCCAGGGCTGCTCCTCATCTGAACCTGCAGAAGACAGGACGTCATGGACACACAGGGGAGATGGCAGAGCAAGGCCAGTGGCCTCGTCCTCACAGGGTCAGAGGAGGTGGTTGCTTTAAGTCAGAGGCCAGGTGTCCACTGTGCACCAGCCCTGAGGTAGGTGCCGGGACAGGATGATCAATATGACAGACGGACACTATCCCTGCCTCGCCCACAGCTTATCGTCCAGCAGAGGAAATGGGTTAAAGAAAGGCCCAGAGACCACCATGAGTGCTGCAAGACAAGACGGCCAGGCCCAGACCCTGGCGGAAGGGAGGACAGCAGGAAGGGGAAGGGCTGGCTAGGTTCTCTGCCCAGGCTGGAGGGCACACAGGCCTGGGGTAGGGTTCTCTGTCCGGGCTGGAGGGCACACAGGCCATGAGAGGGTTCTCTGCCCGGGCCGGAGGGTACACAGGCCGTGAGAGGGTTCTCT